ATGGAGTAGGTAAAGGCACAGAAATAGACATCCTCGTCGCCAATGTTGTGTTGTTATAATGAAATAGTAGAATCAGCAGGCAAGACACGTAGCTCAGCTTCAGTTCTCTCTTTATTCTCTTCTCTCTTCTTCTCCTTCATTCCGCTTCTTATATATACAGTCAGAGCTCCCCTTGCTGTCCTTTTCATGCAATAACAAGACATAACAAGATTTTAACCATATTTGTTGATTTTAACTTTTAGCTACAGGTTTCCAAATTTTAGATTTTGGTTATGGTTTTGTTTAATTTAACTTTTACAGTAGCCACAATTTAGTTGATTTTGTCATTTAGATCCAGTTTTGCTAATTTTATCTGATCTGCTAGTTTACTTGTTTTAGCCACTGCTGGTTTCAGTATTTGGCTAAATTGAACATGTTGATCACTTTTTTAAAATCATTTAAGCTTGTGTTTTAATCTTTTTTTTTGGCTTATTTCAACTTTAAAAGTTCAGCTTTAGCTTCTTCAACAGTATGTTAGCAGTAATTCAGCGCTCAGCATTTACTCTGCATTTTTGCAGAAACTGCACAGTGAGTTTTTGAGATTAACTTCCAGGTTGTTTTGTAAAGATTTATTCTGTTTTTTATTTAATTACTGTCACAGAGGACAGATATTGACAAAATGTCTGAAATCAGAACATATCATAAAGAAAAAAGACTGAAAACATCAAGTTTAGGTATTTTTACACTCCTTATTTATCTAAAAATGGACAAAAACAGAGCTAACGTAATAACTACCAAACAAAAGTCATCTCTTCTCTGAAGTTCTCCAACACTCTCTTCTAAAGGTATGAACGACTTCAGCTACCTGCACACCAACTGCTTTGAGCTCTCCATTTTCCTCGGCTGTGATAAGTTTCCTCATGAAAGTGAGTTGCCTCTTGAGTGGGAGAACAACCGTGAAGCTCTGCTGTCGTTCATGGAACAAGTAAGAACCGGTCAGATAAGTGCTTCACAGTTAAGACTAATACGTCTTTGTGTCAGGACATCATAACATTTCTAAAGTAAGACTTTATGTTTGGAAATTATGGAGTTTGAGCCTTTTGGTTAAAAGAATGACCAATGAAGAAGCGTTAAAAAAAAAACTAAAGGGAAAACATAATACCTAGTTTCTCAGACACACCATGAGGAGATGAGGGTTAGAACACTGTACGGGTCACCTCGAGTGAAGAAACAAGATTTACTGCCTCGAAGCAGGCCTCGGACAGGCCTGACGAGAGGACAYGWWCMCTGTCACAAACTGAACTCTATTTAGGCCATGACAGGTCACTCCAACCGTGGAAGAGAACCCCTCAGTTCTCTTAATCAGAAATGGACAGAACAATCTCTTCTGTTCATGATTCATTTGTTGTTTAACTAAGAATGTTTATGCATTTGTTAAATCATGATAATGACAGCCACAAGAAAAGTGGAACCACTTCTTTTCTCTTACCGTGCCTCAAAGATTTATAATGGTATAAAAAAATCACAGAGAATCTGATCACAATGTTTTCATTGTGTTTTTATGTAAATCACTGTTTTTATTTTACTGTGAACACAGTAATATAATTACTTAATCACTTAATTAATATTACTGTGTTCACAGTAGGGCTGTGTATTGGCAAGAATTTGGCGATACGGTACATATCATAACAGAGGGGTCACGATACGATATATCCCGATATATCCCGATATATCCCGATATATTTCGATACTGTAAACAAGGCGATATATTGCGATATTTTTGGTCCAAAAATTCTATTAAATAAAAACCTCTTACTGGTAAAGAAAAAAATTCATTGTCTCAGAAAATTCTAATATTACACAGACATACTTTTAATACTGCTGTGTTCTGCTTTGTATGTG